ATCTTCTGATCGAAATAGCTTTCGTGGCGCAGTGGTCTGGATGGATAACGCCCAGTCATTTGAAGAAATTAATTCTGAGTTCCAGGTGCCTGGAATCCGCTGCTAGTCACAATCCATCATTAGTAGATTGTTTCAATGGCATAATTAATCTTGGAAAAAAAGAATATGATGGTCGTTGTGCAGTTAGGTAAACACATTTTGTATTTCCTTGATTCCGGGATGATAGATAATACACATGCCAAGCCACCACCCACTTCGACTTGTCATCATGCTGGAAACTCGATTCAGGTGGAAGGAGGTTCAGAATGGCCACATCAATATGCTGAGCCATTCAATGAGATCAATTATTCTTGGTTTTAGCCTCCTTAGCTGTATTCCTGAGACAAGGGAAATCAGTGATTGGCTGAAATCGATCAAAATAGTCCAGAATTATAAACTCATTCTTTTACGTCTTCTAAAGCTTGAGTTATATTCAGATTATTTATTGTCTCCTACAAAATGTGGTCCAATTTTATTGTTTTAATATCGTCATTTGTCCTTTGGGTTCCTAGTGGAACATACGGCTTTAGTAGCACGTCGCCATTCCACTTCATTCTCTGCAGTCTCTCGAACCTGACCACACCATTCCCCATAACATTTCATTTCTTCCTCACACCATCTCCTCCATGTCACCCTCACTCCACCCGCACAACTCGTCGTTTCTCATTCGGGTTCCATTTGAGGGATGGCCTGATGCATGATTTCCGCAAATGGTCTTCTCAGCGTATGCCCCATCCATCTCCACTTTCCTCTAGATATCTCTTGAGCGATGGCTTCTTGATTGGTTCATTGCCAGACCAGAGTTCCTTGTGGCTTATTCTTTCTCGCCTTCTCATCTCATCTTCAGTATCGAGTGAGCGTAGACAGCAGTTGTTCATGTATAGTCAGCAATTTGTTGGAAACGCTTTTCGTAACGCACCAAGTCTCTCAACCATCACACATTGATTTGACTGAATTAATGTTGAAAATCTGGATCTTGTTCTTTATGCTGAGTGGAGTGGAGTGAAGTGGAGTGGAGTGGAGTGCAGTGCAGTGCAGTGCAATAGAATCTCCACACTGATTTCAGATTAATGAAGACCTGTCTTGTTGTCATTTCTATCCTGGCTTTGACATCGTCATCTGTGCCACCACCTGTAGTTGAAACTATCCTGCATGGCAGGTAGGTAGGTGAAAGATTTCTCCCATTGATGGTGATAGGTGGATGTTGTTGTTGTTGTTGGTGGTGGTTAGTGGTGTTGAGCATCTTCATCACCTGTGTCTTCTCTACGTTCACCTGAAAGAAATCCCGTTTTCGCTGCCTCACCTCGCCTCTTCTACCAACTTGTTGGTTTTCGCCTGTAGATCTTCGAGTTTGTGAGACAAGATACTAGACATAAATCGTCATGGGTGAAATCGAAATCTTCTGGGGTCTTTTCATCAGTCAAACAACGTATGCCGATCTTCTCACACCTCACAGTTGTTTGTTGCGTGATCCAGTCTAGTCGAATCGACCACAATTGGGAAGGTCATCGGTGATAGTAGGCGACATTGTCTTACTCCTGTCTTCATATCAATGTCATCCCTGAGCTTTTCATTGTGAATCACTGGGCATGTAGCTGCTATTGAATGAGGTTGATGAACGGTCTAGTTTGATATGAGACGTTTTCTATCCACCAATGTTTGAGGTTCTATGTTTTGTGTCTATTCTATCTTTCTCTATCTTATGCTCTAGTTTCGACGATTGACAGCATTCATTCACCGATCACTTCAAAAGCTAACAATAGAATTATTCAACACTTTCTTATTCTTTCTAACGATCAATGGATTGACCTTGATAGCTATGACCATCAGTGTTAGTAATCCATAGCTGAATCCACAGCTAAATAGGATCTAAATGTACTATGAATTTCGCAGAAAGCAACACGAAAATTCATTTTAAAATAAGCTTCTACAGAGAATATAACCTCTACAAGTTTTACATGTTTCATTAGAGAATGGAGACAAATCAAGTTGCTCATAGATGCGACAATTTATTGTACAGATTTTACACTCTGAAGAAATACGACTACTACAAGGTCATGAAACATCAGGAATTTAGTGTGCCATCTCATTAGGGTCTTACAAACATTTCCTTTTATAAACCATTGACTCAATGGTCAACGCATTCAACTGCATCAGGTCATAGTTCCATTATGAAGTCTATAAAATATTTGATAACTATTAACGATCTCACCACATTGTGGTCAAGTATTGATGCAGTTCAAGCAAGAGATCAATGACAGTAATAATGATGATGAAAACGATAAAAACAAAAATAGTAACAACGATAATAATTATCATTTGATAACCTGAGATAGCGGCGGTAGTTTGGCAGACTAGTTACTTATACTACGTGATGATTCAAGGTAAAATGAAAATTTCAACCCTGACAGAACTCGAACAAGCGACCACTGAGTTTCCGGCCTGATGCTCTACCAATCACCTATGAAGTCAGACTGCTGACTACATTTCACTTCAACCACCAAGGGTTTTTACCAAATAACATCCATGTGAATTCGTTATACGTTACTACCGCTTGATCGTATTTACACTGGCTGCTTGCCTAGTCAGGACTTCTCATCCTAATCCAAATCTAACTGAATAAGATAGTCTTCAAGAAAGGTGAGAAATCCTCGTGTGATAACCACAGAGGATTCAGTCTGACGAACATAATGTCTAAAATCCTAGGTTCTATAGTTCTTTGACACCTGAGTGGAGCTCGGGAACAACAAGCCCGCAAACACCAGGCAGGATTTAGACCTGGCCGCGGGTGTATCGACCAAATATTCACACTCCGCCAGGTCCTCGAACATAGGCACGCTTACCGATGCCCAACAATTGCTGTATTTCTCAACCTGAAGGCAGCACCATTCGACTCCGTTGATTGAGAAGTCTTATAGCAATGCCACTCACTTAAAGGCGTGCCGAGTAACTACATCACCTTATTGAAGGCTCTCTACTCGAACACTTGTGAATGTGTTAGAGCTTATGGTGAGATGTCTAGGGAGCTATACTCATCGAGTGGTGTCCATCAAAGATGCCCACTGTCTTCATTCTTATTCAATTTTATCATAGATATTCTTATGGAGGTCTCCCTCTCGTCACCTGATTACACAAAAGTTGACCTGATCACAGGAGAATTTTCGTTAGCCCTTGAATATGCAGATGACATAGTCCTGTTAGGTGAAGACGCTGACAAGATGCAGAGTCTTCTGAACACTTTGAGTGGGGATTTGAGAATGTTTGGGATGCATTTCTCACCACACAAATGCAAATTGTTGATCCAGAAATGGTCTTCAACGGTGCCACGGCTAACAATAGAGAGTGTAGTGATTGAGTGTGTTGACCACTTCACTTATCTGGGAAGTAGGATCAGCCCTGCCTCGTTGCTCAGTGGCCGATGAAATTTCTGCACGGTTACAAAGGGGTCGGTTGGCTTTTGTTAACTTCAGCCACCTGTGGAGCCGCCGTGATATCCTTTTGTCCTATTAAGGGTCGCATGTACTGCATACAATGTTGGCCGAAGTTGGTTCAGGCTGGAAAAAGGCTCGAGGTGGCTGGACTAAAATATGGCACAAATGTATGAAGTCTTTGACTGTTGGTTTAAGCCATGTGTGGCGATGTAGACTAGCCGGTTGGGGTCAGCGAGACAAGAGAAAGTGTTTGGATACTCTGGGTGTTGTGGCTCAAAACCGATGTCACTGGCGTAGATGTATCCCCACACACATTATCCTCATCTTAACGACGCTATACCGAATCTCACCACTTTCTCATTCCTCCTTTCTCTCCTTTAGTACTTTACATTTCTTCTGACTGAATTTTCTTTCTTTCATATTCCACCTCACTGCCTCTTTACTTGATGTACTGATATTAGGTGTGGCAAGTTGCATCATGAAGCAGTAATGCCTGGTCCTATGTTGATATTGATGATGATGATGACACTAATAGTAACAATAGCGATGATGATGATGATCATAACAATAACAGTAATTATACTGGGTGATGAATGAAGGTGAAGTGAAATCTCCTTCGCTGTCGGATTCAAACTAGCGACCAATGGGGTTTAAATCCGGCAGCGGTCCAATTTTTCACTTAACCTTCAATCATCACCTGTCAAACTTACTAAGGTTTGAATAGCTAGATAGTAGTATAATTAGTTGTCATTCAAGAGTTATGACTAGTCGCTTAATGTATGAAGATGCACAAGACTGCTGATTCCATTCAAGATTTTTATTAGGACATTCCAAAAATAGAAACTTTGAATAACGTTTTAGTCATACGATCACATCTAACATTGTTTACAACACTTTATAATTGGTTATTGTTTCAGAAATCATCAAAAGCAGGAAACCCAAAGCTTCATTCGTCAAAAATATTTCTGAAGGTGACAACTATGCTACATGGACTACACTTAAACGACATCCTCTGTGATGAAATACTGAATTCTCTGCCATAATAGGTCATTCGTGTGTAGCCAAATTAACTGGTCAGCCCTCCGCAATGCTGAGCATTGATCACAGTCTATTCAATCGATTATTGTACACGATCTAGTTATACAAGCGACCAGTCATGATAACCTCTGTACAACTGGTGGTGCTCATGCCCCAGTGGCCTAGGCGATAACGTTTTGGCATTAGAAGTGATAAGTATTGAATTCGAGTTTGGAGTAGTAGTAGATACATATTCAGCTGACGATGAGTGCCAGGTATCAAGTAATTCATAACACTGACTGATATAGGCTTAAAGCTTCCTTGCAGCTGCAAACAAACAACCTTGTTGATAAATGTCAGCATAATCCCAAAACCAATTACATCAGTTACAGCCTCTTGTCCACTAACGGATACCAAACTCACGTCCCTTTTTACTGTCATTTATTCAAAGAGAAACGTGGAAAAGGACTAATGGTAAGTAGATCAAAAGAGCATACTGTAGTATTCACTTACATTACGCGGTTGTATAAAGTAGGTTTCAATAGTTTTTGTTGGCTCATTACATTTCATTGATTCACTTGGATTAGGAAAGCCTAAGATAGGACCAGCTTCACCACGAAAACCTTCAGGCAATTGATTGAAAGTGGATCTTGAAGTAAGCACACGACTAAATAATAGAAAAAAAAGGAGAAAGTTAACCAAAATAGTTCACATCAGCAAAAATTGAAATCTTCAATTTGAAAGTTCCTGTGAATTGACTGGTTGCAATTCAGTGTCTGTAATGCACTGACATCAGTTGGAAGAACACTGGAAATACTAAACAGCTGCTTCGTCCTAGTATGCGACTCCTCAGCAGTAGGCACTCGTGACCAAGCCTATCAGCGCTCGAACTCAGGATCTTCAGGTTTCCTGGCGAACACATGAACTATCCAACCACCGCGACGGAGTTCGATAATCCACAGTCTTCTACTTCTGTCACTTCACGATACAGTGCAACCTTCTGTTACTTCTTTGCAATGACAATAATGTGAAGGATTATGGTACCATCTGGTTATCTAGGTCAGAAGAAGTACGTACAGCATCGTTTCAACGCAAGACCGATGGTTTCGAACTCTCTACAACAGTGATAAACATACTAAACAGTTGTTGCAGTGTTCATCCCGTAAAAGACTGAAACAACTGTTTAGCCTACCTTAACGAATGTAATTAGAACGTTGAGAAACTCACTATTACCACTATCTCAGTTAGTGATGTTGTTCTTTTTGAGACTAGAATCTCGAAACAAATGAGCCATATGCCAAGGCACTATCCACTAAGTCATGGAGGAACGATAGCCACTTCTTTTACAACTGGTATCAGTTATTACTATTCATTAATATACTTGTAACTCTCCGTTGTTTTATGTGATCGAATTGTTCAACCTCTATTGACATATGCACAGGTGTATGCGGATGCCTTGATATTGCCTGAATGGCAATTATGATAATTTGGTTAGTTTTGGCTAGCAGGGGAATCCAGGACGCGCGTTTCGTCCTATTTAGAATTCACTCGTCAGCTGGATGTATCTGCACCCCCGTGCGATATGTTGTTGTTCCCATGGAGACTCGAACCTCGTACGTATCGCTTCAAACGCCAAGGCGTTATTCACCATGCCACCGAGGAACGATAGCCACTTCTTGCATAACGGGTAGCAGTTATTACTATTTGTCGAAATTCTTCGTTTTATTAGATCGAATTGTTCGAGGATGAGGTCGTGATTATCATTATTGTAATCACTAGTGCCATCATTATTATTACCATCTTCTATTTCAGTATTATTACCATTTTTATTGCTAACGTTATAATAATTATTATTATTGCTGTTGTTATTACCATCTTTATTACTGACATAATCATTGTTACCATTATTACTATTACTACTTTCAACACTAATGTTATCACTATCATCGTTGTTGCTGTTATTATCGTTATTACCATTATTATCATGACTGTACTCTTCATTAGTATCATAGTCATTACTATTTTTAATATTGGTATTGTTATTATTATTGTCATTACCATAATCCTTATCATTATCATTATTACTACTATTGTCATCGTAACCAATTGTAACACTAATATTATTACCGTTTTCAATATTAATATTATATCAACAAACTAAAGACATACATCAACAGCTGCCGCCTACGCTCACTCGATACTGAACATAGGATCAGATGGCGAGAAAGACTAAGCCACAACGAACTCTGGTGTGGTAACGAACCAACCGAGAACCCATCACCCAACAAATATGCAGAAGAAAGTTGAGATGAATGAGCATACGCTGAAAAGTTCATCTATGGACATCACGCGCCAGGCCGGGCCCTTAAGTGGAGCCCAAATGAGAAACGAAAAGTTTGGCTTCCGAGGTGAGGGTGACATAGAGGAGATCATATGAGGAATAAATGAAAGCTTCTTGGTAGTTGTGGAGCCAGGTATGAGAGGCTGGAGAGAATAGAATGGAATGGCGACGTGCTACTGGAGCCCTATGTTCCACTAGGAACCCAAAGGAAAAATAATGATGATAATGTCCAATACCAATATTATCATTATTATCGCTGTTGCTGTTACTAATATTATAACCATTAATGGGATTACCATTCCCAATATTACACATTATTATCAATGTTGTTGCTATTATTGTTCCTATTTTCATTATTATTGTCATCATTAGTACTCCTATGACCACTATTATTGTTGCTGTAATCACTATTACGATTATTACCCTCACCACCTTTAATATCAATATTATTGTCATGATTACAATTACTATTATCATTACTATTACTATCATTATCATTACTATTATCATTATCATTTTTATCACTATTTTATTATTATAACTATTATTATTACTATTGCAAAATGAAAGTGGTACATGAAGGCTACCAAGAAATACGCCACAACAATGTGAAGGCATAAAGTGATGGAAAGTCGATAAGTAAGAAAGAGAAACAATCAGAATGAGATGATAAGAAAAGTAGTCCGGTAAGATATACTCAAAACAAAATATCCATTACTTTTCTGTCACAAAAGATAGGAGGAAACTACAGCATGATCGCCATTAGTTTCGACTTTGAGTAACATATGATAACGTTTCAACCTACTGAGTTGTATCATCTCTTGAAACCCACCCAGGGAGTCGTGATGCATCAACAGATCCTAAGCTAATACAAGGGTCCTTCATTCCACGGTCCTATTTCAAACACTGGCCACACCTCCACTTCTTTCATCCGATTCAAGGGTTAGCAAACAATGAATGGTTTGTAAGCCTTTCGGACAATATGTGTACCATATATCCAAGCCACCAGATGACTTCCCTTCGTGAATCACGATCTCCATCATACCCAAACACACACTGTTGTAACTCAGAATTACTGACTTACATGGCATTGCTACGAGCAAACAACGATGATCAAACACACAGAGTCGGCGAACATCCTCAACTCGGATAGGCCAGGTTTCACAGATGTAGAGCAGAATTCCTCGCACTGAAGTGTTGTAAACCCAACTTTTCACTGTCAGACTAACGTCGCAACGGCTCCAAAGCTGGTCGAGATTAACAGATGACACTTTGGCTTTCGATATGCGTTCGGAGATTTTATCACTCACACCACCAGCACTCATACAACTACCCAGATAAATGAAAAACTTTTCGACTACTTCCCATGCCTCACCACCAAAGGTTAAAGCAGTCCAATGATCCTATTAATCTTTCAAATTGCTTTGCACTTCAGTGGTGCAAAGCACATACCATACTTACGGATACTAATCACAAAATGATTAGTGCGACCTTGGTTTCTCGCATAGTAAGACGGTATCGTCCTCATATTCGAGGTCGAATAGCCGTTCTCCGGGTAGTAGATGTAATTCAACTGATGAAGTTGTTACCCTTTATATACTGAGGTGCTAGGGACACATTTGTTAGGTAGGCCTGTTTACCTTCATCCGCATCGCCTAATCTAATTTGAAGTAGGCTTACGCTGCAAAAACACTAAACGTCGAGACACCAAAACGTGTCATCAGTTCATGAAGTCTAGGATTCTCGATATGAACCGATTACATAATTTGTAGACTTCTCAGTTGCGGTCAACAACACACCACAGTTGAGAATCGATTTCTCTGCCAAAATTGCATTCACACATTATCTTTACTTAAATTGCCATATCACATTTCGTCATTGTATTACTCCTTCCCACTTTATTTTCCATTACTACTTATTGGGAAGGGTTGGAGGAATATTGTAGCAGAAAGAAAATTCGAAGTAGAACGTCACGCATAAGTACATCAACTCAAGTTGCCACACTTCACAGAAAACACCAATTCACAAAGAACAGGTGGATAGAAAAATTCTCATATCAAGGTAGACAAAGTTGCTAAGAAGAATAGACAATTTGAAGATAAAGATTAGTGAGAATATTCAAGTCTTAGAAGATGTCAAAGAGTCCACCACTGTGTCTAATTTCCAGACAAATCGCTAATAGTTCTCAAATACCAATTCTTTATCGTGTCGGAGACCATAGACAGGTAGTCTACACCTCCATACACAGGTAAGATCAACTATCTGAAACTTCATGAACTGGTGCGACGTCGTGGTCTGACCACCTTCGAACCCTCTCTCACAACCTAGCCCAACTTCTTCTAGAAATACCACATCGAGGTAAGTGTTGATTTCACTAAACGCAAGCAATGCTAAAAAGACACCAGTCATCGAAACCATGTAACTGCTTCATATCTCACAGCCGTATAGAACAAGAGAGAAGATACTGCAGCGCAGTACACTCATCGTTTGAATGAGATAATCGGATAGGTCGTCAGTTGGTATCATAGATGACACAAGTTGGCAAATGCCAAAATGACTATCAGTATCCGATTTGATATTTTGTCAGCAACTAGCCTGTTCATATTGATGCAACTACTTAATTAAGTGAAATAGTCAACACATTCCATTGTAAGGTAGCATAGAAAGTGACTAGGGTATGCATGACATATCTGTAATGCGTGTCAACTTGGTAAAGCTGTTTACATGCTAGACTTAGAATATATTACCCACATACACTCACTTAAAAAGACAGAACAACTGATTACTATTTATTGATATACTTGTAATTCTCCTTTGTTTTATTGGATCAAATTGTCCGACCTCTGTCGGCATATGGGCTCCTGTACGGATGCCTAGATATTACCTGAATGTGCCTCTGTGGCATGGTGCATGATGCCTTGGTGTTTGAAGTCATAGATAAGAGGTTCGAGTATCAGTGGAAACAACATCGCTGACTGGGCTGCAGGTATATCCAGCTGACGAGTCCCAAATAGGAAGAGACGCTTGTCCTGGAATCTTCTGCTAACCACAACCAAACAAAGAATAACCGATTGCCTGACAAATCGATTATTTATGCCTAAGGATCAAATGTGTAAGTACCTCCAGCCCTCAAATATTTACATAGATCCTAGTATGAAACCCTTCAACCTATTCGAAGTAGCCTAGAATGAAAATCAAAGCTTCCAGATTTAACAAATCATCGTACAAAAATCCAACATCTCTTTGATAGAATCATCCTCCTAAACTATGTAACACCTTCATTAGAGAGAAAAAAATCATTAAACATGAGGGAAAATGATTTACAACGGGGTTCGAACCAAGAACAACATATTATTCTGATCTCCAATGTCATCCATCATGTTGTGATTTCCACAACACTAGTTTTATTAGATTGTGATTCCGACGCGAATACTTTGATATTGTAGGTGTAGTGGATAGCTCTGTGTCGTTTGTAGAGATCGGTTCACAGTTCAGGTCTTTTTGAGAACAACATCTATCACTGGGAGGAAGCTGCATCCGCCTGAGGAGTCCCAAGTAGGACGAGACGTGCATGGTGTACGGCACTAATAGCCACTATCCATTGATAACAATAGTATCAGTTATTATTTATCCACAACTTACCATGGACGATAAGCAGCATACTTTAACCGATTAACATAAGTGACATCATCACCAATTAAATCGAAACCCAACCGGCTACGACCAAGCACAATAGCATAAGCAGTGCCTGTATGCACGCTAACGCGTAATTCCAATTGAACATGAGAAATTTCACTGATCTCCCTAAAGAAAAAAAAAGTAGCAAAAATAGCAGGATATTTAAAAGAAACAGTTTACTCTGAAAATATGCATAAAAATTGTACTGAAGGGGGACAAGAGCTTTCAGATACCTACCACATCGAGATGTCAACACATAGTGTGCATCATCTCCATACGAGATTAAACTAATCGGGTCAAAGTGATTTTTACAACACTCAAAAAATACCTCAGCATTACGGATTGGCATCAGCTGGAGAGCAGTACGCACCTGTGAACCTACAACGCCATGGGTCGAACTTGAAACCTTATGCCACTGGGGGGGAGGGGGGTTCAATGCTCCACAAGTATCCTACTCCACTCAACTTGTGCACAATTAAGGAGTTCCATACCAGGACAGCTGTCCAGTGCTCACATCTATTTCATACACATATTCTGCTTTATGAAGTTGATTATGCGGAGAAAAAAATTTCCACCAGTTTCTCATCAGCCACTGCTTCTTTATTACCGAAGAGTTAGAAGACAGGAAATGCTGTATGGTTTAACAAAGAATACAAACATCCAAATAAATGTGACAATATATGCTGACATATTCCACTGATATATGAGTGATTCAACGGAGAATTCGAGAAAAGACTATGAATATCACTGAAAGATTGAGTGAGATGATTAACACGTTGTCTAAATAACGATCAGGAATAGAAGAACTAATAAAATGAGTTGAAGTCAGTTCGCAGAAGCCTTCATCAAAATTATGTACGAACAGTGTAAGATATAAGTTATTCAGGGCAACGAACAAATACACAATTCCAATTTCAGTCATTTGATCACCATAGTCTTGAGGAACTTGTAAAAGTTTGAATTACACCAATTTCTTAACTACCTATGATGTGGTTGATAGAATAATATGAGGACGCTACTATCATAATGAAATACTTTGACTGGATAAAATGGTGACTTTTCTCCTTGATACCTGATACTTCATTGGGTCTCGAATTCATAAAATATTTATATACAGTTTTTCCTCAGAAAATAAAGCCGCTAGGTCACAAGTTGGATTTTTATTTTCATTGGTCAACTGAAGGACGAAATTTTCCAATAAGGTTTTTCCGCCCACACAATCACATAAAATCAAGGTTAAAATCCCGAACTGATGATTTAGAATGCTGATTTTGATTTAACCTCCTGCTTACTATCAGCATCAAAGCTTTATAGGTAGTCTACTTTGTGCTCTGTTGTTTTTTTTTATAGAGACAGATACCTTCAAGATTATCAAGAAATGAGTGTCATACAGATCTTCACAAGTTCCTTAAGACTATGGTGATCAAATGACTGAAATTGGAATTGTGTATTTGTTCGTTGCCCTGAATAACTTATATCTTACACTGTTCGTACATAATTTTGATGAAGGCTTCTGCGAACTGACTTCAACTCATTTTATTAGTTCTTCTATTCCTGATCGTTATTTAGACAACGTGTTAATCATCTCACTCAATCTTTCAGTGATATTCATAGTCTTTTCTCGAATTCTCCGTTGAATCACTCATATATCAGTGGAATATGTCAGCATATATTGTCACATTTATTTGGATGTTTGTATTCTTTGTTAAACCATACAGCATTTCCTGTTAACTAACTTGAGTTAGCTGTGAAAAAGTGTCCTCTAACTCTTGCATGATATGATATTAAAAATGTCTTCAGGTTGTAAGCAGCAGCTGACGAGAACATACAGACCCCCACATCTACATGCATCGTCAGATTATTATTGTCATATTATTTGTCCTCTGGCTTCCCGGTGGAACATAGGGCTTCAGTAGCACGTCTCCATCCCACTTTATTCTCTGCAATCTTTTCAACCTGGCTCCACGACTGCCCACAATCTCTCATTTCTTCCTGACACGATCTCCTCCATGTCACCCTCGCCTCGGACGCCCAACTCGCCGTTTCCCATCGGGGTTCCACTCGAGTGCTTGGCGCGTGAAGCCACCGAATGGTCTTCTCAGTGTACGCCCAATCTATCTCCACTTCCTTCCAGTGCATATTTGTTGAGCGATAGGTTCTCGGTTTGTTCGTTGCCAGACCAGAGTTCCTTATTGCTTATTCTAATTATTCTGGCCATCTGAGCTTCAGTAACGAGTCAGCGTAGGCAGTTGTTGATGAATATCTGTAGTTTATTGGAAATGCTTTTCGTGATGCACCAATTTTCTGAACCATATAGTAACACTGACTTGACTGAATTGGTGTTGAAAATGCGGATCATGTTCATGCTTCATGCTGAGTGCAGTAGATCTCCATACTGATTTCAGATTAACGAAGGCCTATCTTGCTGTCTTTCCGATCCTGGCTGGCGTTGACGTCCTCGTCTGTACTGCCTGTAGTTAAAACGATGCTGCCTAGATAGGTGAAAGAGACTACTTCCTTTCAGTTTCTTCCGTTCATGGTGATTGGAGCTTGTTGTTGTTGTTGTTGTTGGTGGTGGTGGTGGTGGTGGTGGTGGTGTAGGTTGGGTTATCTTCATCACCTCCATCTTCTCTACGTTCACTTAAAGTCCCGTCTTCGCTGCCTCTTCTGAAAACTTGTTAGTTTTCGAGGACACATATCTTGTACTAATTGGGGAATCCATTCGTCAGCTGAATTTACCAGAATCCCAGTGAGTGATTTTGTTCTCTCCAGGACTCAAACCCAGTACCCATCGTTTCAAACATGGGAGATTGTGGGTGTGCATCGTGAGGGATCTCCAAACTAAAATGAAACACTTTTCCGGTTGTCCTGGACTGAATTCTAAGGTTTTTAAGTAGATGGTGATCAATATCTATCTTACGGATAATAATCCCTGCACTACGACATCACTGACCACCAGCTCACTGGTTTAAGCAATCAGTTAACTTACAACCAATGGTTCGAGGCCGACTCCATCTACCCAGCGGGATTAAGGACCAGGTACCAGCATCACTAGCCCTCACAGACACAAAAGGTGTGACGCATTGTCTACTACAAGAACGTGTATAAGGTTACCAAGTTCAATGTGTCATGAAGTCAATCCATAGTTTGCTTGCTTGCCTATATATATTTGCATATGACCAGTGTTGTGTGAGAATTTTATTTATACCATACAGATAACATGCTTGTCCCTTGCATATTTTAAGTTCATGGGATCATTTCACATACTATCGCCGAATACCCTCACATATCACACTATAGACAACAGGCTAAAATGGCTGAGATCGTACAATACCCACTGTATAACAACCTCCTAACTTGAACACTTCAAAATTTAGAGAGAAAACACACGCAATAAGCATCTATAGTAAGTTATAATGTATGAACTTATCACCGATGTTTAACATATAATAAAACTTGAAATTCATGCTTTTTTTTCATGACCATAGTTTCACATACCAAAATGTAGGACAATAATGTGAACATATTTACTGCTATGCATAAATTAATCCTACAGTCTGTGGGAATGTGTTGGCGGTCAAATAAATTAACCACGTAACTAGTTCATATGCATTTGTGATAGACATAACTGGCTGAGTCAAACTGAAACATATTGTGTGTTTATATGAGTCACTTCAAAGGTCACACTATAGCAACCGCTAAACTAACCAATCACATTTCAGAATTCAGTTAGAAAGGTAGTTCATCGAATTATACAGAGACGCAATTGGTTATCCAACATTCGTCCATTACCTATGCTGGTTGTAGTCAAGGTCATAATAACCAGTGAAACAACCAATTAGATTTATATATTTTGTGAAAACACTATATGTGCATATGAAATAGAGAATCATAATTGGTTTCTTTTAGTATTTGGTAGAATGATCTTTGAACTTTCTCGACAAGAGTATTCTACAGCATTTTTCGTCGACGAAATAATCGTTTCAAATCCACTAAACGTAGAGCACAACAGGAAAATAACCACACAGTTGGCTGGTACAAATATAAATTCCACTCTGTCGATAAGCTGTCTTTAATAACAGAAAAATCAAAACTTAGTTGAAAGGAGAAATCTACGATTCGAAAAGCTGATTAAATACCCTTGAGGAAATCTGAAGTCCAGCCTGTACACAGCTATGAGGTTCGGCACCACTCATAGACTTTGACTTAAGGTAGACTGAAGGCAATCTAAAGAAATGTCTAGAACCAAGTTTCCCCCAACACAAGTATCCATTTGCGCACAAAAGTACGAGTTTGGCTATTTAACTGCCAAAACCTCAATTGATAAAATAAGATTCTAGTTTGTGACCTATTAGTTCAGTAAGCAAAGTATTATACTGCTATGGTAGCAATGAATCCAAAAACAAGGCCTGGGGTTCACAAAAACAACTTAATTCCGGAAATTACATAACTAGCCTTGTGATTTGAATTGCACCATGCAACCTTGTGCATATTCATGCAGTAATAGGCAATGGGCTACACTTAATGTATGTAAGAGCTAATGATACTGACTACCTGACTGCCAAAAGCACCCGAATAGATAGAGGTAGTGTTCAAATTCGCAATCCAGTCGTTGAAAGACAACTCCGTAAATTAACAAGACACAACTGCATGTCAACGTGATTCAGATTAGACATACAATTGGTTACCTTGGTGACTTAACCACTTTAAAGGCGATTAGTCTGGATACGTCAGAGTAGGTTGCCTGGCACGAAAAACTGTCTATCCCGATACACTTCTAATTTGATTTATTCATGAAGGTTAAATTAAACATATGAAACCAGAAAACAACAAGGCAAGTTTTCTAGTGACACACAAACAAGCAGCAAAGGCACCAAGAAATGCCCGACACAAAAAAAATATATATAACAACATTATGAAGAAATAAATTGATGAAAAGCAAAACATTCACAACATTCTAGCAGCAGTATGACGACTACTGAGTTGCGTGATCTCTCGGAACTCACCAACAGAGTCATGATGCACCAAAAGATGCTAACCTGATACAACTATCCTTCATCCTACGGTGCAGTGTCATAAACTGACCAACCGTCCACTTCTTCCTTCCAGACCAAAGGTTAGCAAATAATGAACGGTTTGGAATCCGTTGTGATGACATACATAACACATGTCCAACCCACTTAACCTAGTATTTCTAGATTCATCACTCATATCTTCACTAGTACTCAAACAACCACCCAGATACAAGGATAACTTTTCGACTACACCCGACGGGTCACCACCAAAGGTGAGCGCAGACACACTCCAAACAATCTTGCGAAAGCACATTTCAATTCAATGGTGCAAAGGATATAACATACTTACAGACATCAATTACCAAATAATTAAGTGTGACTCGAGTGATACACATACACAGTTGAACAATACCCTTCGAGGTTTCTTGTTACAAAGGTAAGTTTGGTAAAGTAGAGCAGTTTGCCAAATCCCTTGCGTATCAGAAAAATTGAAAGCACAGGTTTTCATAGGAGACCAAATATATAACAAGATTGAGAGTTTGCACACATTTAGGCAAATAATAACCAACTGAAAACGTCTTGACACCATGAGTTTTTCACACACACAGAGAAGTGATTAGTGTTTGTGGCTACATTCGTCAGAAATATGACGTCGTCATAAGCGCCACCTCATGATTTGTAGATATCCATGAGAATAAGGATTTTTGAAAATACAGACGGGAAAAGGAAATTTTATACATGCCCAAAAGGTACATTGTATACTGTTAAGAATAATGTCCTTATATATATATATATTCGGGCGACCTAAGTCTTTGCAAGAACTGGTGCGGAATCATGCCCCTGTCCACCCCAAGCAAACTATTCAGCTGCATCATCCTCGACGGACGAAAAAAGTACTCTGCATTCAAAATTAGCACCCGAACAGGCTGGCTGGCTTCAAGAAAAAAATAAATCATGTCCAGATCAAATTACAACGCTACACTACGCATCATCATAGAAAACAGCACAGAACGGCAGTCAACTCTCGACTTCAACTTCATCGATTTTGAAAAGGCCTTCGACAACGTCGACCGACAAGTAATTTGGCAGTTGCTTCGACACTATGGTTTTAGTGCCACAAATCTTTATCAACCTCACTCAACAGCAGCTAAATGGCGATGCTACATCCCAAGCGATTCACAATGAAAAGCTCAGGGGTGACATTGATGTGAAGACAGGAGTAAGACAATGTCGCCTACTATCACCGATGACCTTCCCAATTGTGGTCGATTCGACTAGACCGGATCACGCAACAAACAACTGTGAGGTGTGAGAAGATCGGCATACGTTGTTTGACTGATGAAAAGACCCCAGAAGATTTCGATTTCACCCATGACGATTTATGTCTAGTATCTTGTCTCACAAACTCGAAGATCTACAGGCGAAAACCAACAAGTTGGTAGAAGAGGCGAGGTGAGGCAGCGAAAACGGGATTTCTTTCAGGTGAACGTAGAGAAGACACAGGTGATGAAGATGCTCAACACCACTAACCACCACCACCAACAACAACAACAACATCCACCTATCACCATCAATGGGAGAAATCTTTCACCTACCTACCTGCCATGCAGGATAGTTTCAACTACAGGTGGTGGCACAGATGACGATGTCAAAGCCAGGATAGAAATGACAACAAGACAGGTCTTCATTAATCTGAAATCAGTGTGGAGATTCTATTGCACTGCACTGCACTGCACTCCACTCCACTCAGCATAAAGAACAAGATCCAGATTTTCAACATTAATTCAGTCAAATCAATGTGTGATGGTTGAGAGACTTGGTGCGTTACGAAAAGCGTTTCCAACAAATTGCTGACTATACATGAACAACTGCTGTCTACGCTCACTCGATACTGAAGATGAGATGAGAAGGCGAGAAAGAATAAGCCACAAGGAACTCTGGTCTGGCAATGAACCAATCAAGAAGCCATCGCTCAAGAGATATCCAAAGGAAAGTGGAGATGGATGGGGCATACGCTGAGAAGACCATTTGCGGAAATCATGCATCAGGCCATCCCTCAAATGGAACCCGAATGAGAAACGACGAGTTGTGCGGGTGGAGTGAGGGTGACATGGAGGAGATGGTGTGAGGAAGAAATGAAATGTTATGGGGAATGGTGTGGTCAGGTTCGAGAGACTGCAGAGAATGAAGTGGAATGGCGACGTGCTACTAAAGCCGTATGTTCCACTAGGAACCCACAGGACAAATAATAAATATGATATATTCACAAATTAGAATTTTTCATACTTTTCAGGTAGTATAGGAAAAAGTTAGTCACCGACACACTCTCTCATTAGAATAAAGATAAGATGACTTTGAGAGCGATCCAACCAATAACTGAGAGGTTTAATAACATTTATCTTTTATCAATTCATCTGGAATGAGCGTCTTATATACAGTCACACATGACGACGATAGGGAATAAGAAGAAAGTTGAGTGATATATTTACAGTAAACCGCTCGTTCCCTATAATGTTAAACGGTATGTTAGGCTGAAATATTTAACGTATAAATAAGATTGTACAAGTACAATTTAGCGAAAACTTCTAAGTAGTACATGAAGTATAAAGTTTTAGGTCATTTCTCTACAGAGATGACTTCCAATCAGTGGTTGTAGGTTTGAGTATGACACCCATCAACTGAACTTTAGACAATCAGGTAATAATTAATTCTCATATACAATAGTTGACTCACTGTCTACAACATCAATGTATACAAGATTGCTGACTAGCAGTCGACATGATTTTCAACTTGAGTATATAAATTCATCAAATAAAATAAGGATTTGAAACCATGTAAATAAACATATATATATATATATATATATATATATATATATATATATATATATATATACAAAAGAAAACTTACGCAATAATCTTCAGCATATTCAATCCTAAGTCAATACATGATCTAGCATGATCTACACGTGTCTCCGGATAACCAGCTATGCATAAATATTCATAAGCATTCAATCGTACACGATAACATGATTCTTTTTGAGCTAAGTGATCAAAACAACTGAATATATCATTGATAAAACAAACAAATTGTTGACAAATCATTAATTGATGATTTGATTTGATTGACTGAGATAATGAGGATAGAGTAGAACCTAAATTTGATAAACCGATTAGTTCAGCGCTAAGAAAACTGACGAAGAGGAACAAAAAGAAAACAAAATATATAAGAATATTTTATTGAGTAACAAGAAAATCTTACTTATAAACAAACCAAATACAAAAGAGTCAATCTAACATTGATAGCGGATAGATGACATAATTAGTGTATAGTAAACAATCGTATAAGTCAGGATGCAGTTGGTTGTTGTATACTGATGAAATCTCAACTCGGATACAGAAGACCCGTTTGGCATTTGTAAACCTGCGTTAACTGTGACGCCAACTGACAAGATATCCGATTATCTCATTCAAACGATGAGTGTGCTGAACAGCAGCATCATCTCTCCTGTTCTATACGGCTGTGAGATATCAAGCAGTTACATGGTTTCGATGACTGGTGTTTTTTTAGCATTGCTTGCGTTTAGTGAAATCAACACTTACCTCGATGTGGTATTTCTAGGAGAAGTTGGGCTAGGTTGTGAGAGAGGGTTCGAAGGTGGTCAGACCACGACGTCGCACCAGTTCATGAAGTTTCAGATAGTTGACCTTACCTGTGTATGGAGGTGTAGACTACCTGGCTAGGATGTCTCCTAAGATTATAGTAATCAGTGGTTGAGACTTCTTAGTAACATGGCTGGGAATTGATTACAATAGTGATATAAGTATTTTTTTTATCCACCGGTGAAGTGTGGTAACTTGACTGAGAGTATGTGTTTGTGAAATCCTAAGTTGATTTTTTCTGTCTCTATCTCACGACCAGGGAAAAGATCCTAAAAGATTTCGATTTCGCCGATGACCTGTATCTAATGTCACACAAACTGGAAGACCAGAAAGCAAAAAGCAACAGGTTGGCAGAAGAGGCAGTGAAGACGGGACTTTAAGTGAACGTAGAGAAGATGGAGGTGATGAAGATAACCCAACCTACACCACCACCACCACCACCAACAACAACAAGCTCCAATCACCATGAACGGAAGAAACTGAAAGGAAGTAGTCTCTTTCACCTATCTAGGCAGCATCGTTTTAACTACAGGCAGTACAGACGAGGACGTCAACGCCAGCCAGGATCGGAAAGACAGCAAGATAGGCCTTCGTTAATCTGAAATCAGTATGGAGATCTACTGCACTCAGCATGAAGCATGAACATGATCCGCATTTTCAACACCAATTCAGTCAAGTCAGTGTTACTATATGGTTCAGAAAATTGGTGCATCACGAAAAGCATTTCCAATAAACTACAGATATTCATCAACAACTGCCTACGCTGACTCGTTACTGAAGCTCAGATGGCCAGAATAATTAGAATAAGCAATAAGGAACTCTGGTCTGGCAACGAACAAACCGAGAACCTATCGCTCAACAAATATGCACTGGAAGGAAGTGGAGATAGATTGGGCGTACACTGAGAAGACCATTCGGTGGCTTCACGCGCCAAGCACTCGAGTGGAACCCCGATGGGAAACGGCGAGTTGGGCGTCCGAGGCGAGGGTGACATGGAGGAGATCGTGTCAGGAAGAAATGAGAGATTGTGGGCAGTCGTGGAGCCAGGTTGAAAAGATTGCAGAGAATAAAGTGGGATGGAGACGTGCTACTGAAGCCCTATGTTCCACCGGGAAGCCAGAGGACAAATAATATGACAATAATAATCGGACGATGCATGTATATGTGTGGGTCTGTATGTTCATTCGGAAATATGAATCCCCTGTTTTAAATTCGCAGTTTAATAACAACTGATGACAAATGATTCAAAATTGAACATTGTAGCTTATACGTATCCATGCACTTTCTCCATACTACCTTTATTTACTCATTTTTCATTCTTTACATGTTCGCCTTCAATTTACATTTAGTCACTGTCAATGAATACCGTCGATTGGTTAGTTTCCAATGTATTCCTGACTATAGCTTAATCTGTTCAAACGCTAAAGCGTTATCCACGAAACCATTGAGGCATGTCAGTTAGCTTTTGTGCAACAGGTATCAGTTTTTGTTTATTTGGTACTTGTAATTTCCTCCAACTCCGTCAGCAGATGGATTCATATATGGACTCCTGGCTGCAATCCTCAAGATGATATGAATCATTCACTGACGACTCCGAACCATTTAGGATGACGTAGGCGTATTCATTACTCATCACCATTGACATTTATTGACTGCCTCTAAAGGTCATCCCAGTTACTGATGTAATCGCCGATCACGTTTCAATATTTCGGATGAGAAGGGAGTCTTCTACAGACTAAAGAAAGTTAATCGGTTATCTCAATAGTTGCTAGAGTCATTCACATATTTACTATCAGTTTGACTATGCAAGATAGCAGTCGTAGTTTGTTTGGCATACTTGTTTTATTGATACTGAGTGATGATTGAAAATCTGAGCCGTATGACAGGAATCGGATCACTGACCTCCAGGTTACAAGACGGATGCTCTACCACATCTTACTTTCACGACACTTCAACCACCAAGAATTTTGCTCCGAATGCCACGTGAATTGCTGATCGGTTGCAATCGCCTGGTCCTATTCATTGATATAAGAGTAAAACATGGGCACTATAGGAGAATGTTACCTCATTTTAATTGATATATTCGATGTAACACACAGTGAAGAAGAGTATTATTCACTGGGTAACGTTTCGGGCACGATCTGTTTTCCGTAGTTATCATATCAAGATAACCACACAACTCTGAGACATCCTTTATGTAGTCTTAATTTCCTTACCTCCTTTGTGACATAGGCAGTAGGGCTTCCCATACATCCGGAACAAGTGGGAAATCATTCCTGTTGCTGCATGTATTCGATGTTGATTCGACAAACAAAGATTTGGTTATCAATCTATCCTTCCACCCCACTAGGTTAGTTTTAAGGATTTTCACACTGTCCAATCCTATTGTGTGGTTGTGTATAAATGCTATGGCCGAGCTTTTTCCAGGCTCCTTACCTTACTAGGATTTACCAGTTTTGATCTAGTTAGGTTTTTATGATCGGATGGTCTAAGTGGCCCATTATCGACTACTTTGACCTACATATTTGACTTCACCATCGCTGCAACCGATTCCACAAATAAAATTATTCTGTCTAGTTGGATTAGTAGGATATTCCTAACGTACAAAGCTTATTTCTAAATGAGTTTGCAGTCACTCTAATCAGAACCAGCCTAATTGAGAATTCTGCATAATATATCTGAGCTGCTTTCGGTGCATGATATACAGTAGAGGCTATGACTTCTCTCTTTAGAGTATAGCATATACTACTGCTAACACCCGCGTTATCACAGTCTTTCTAACGATTCCTAAGGAACTTATCAGTAAATTGGGGAGGGTAGGTGTTGATGAGTAAGGTATCTCAGATATTCTCTTTCACAAGTAAGAATTTCACCTTGTTAACTAGACATTTTACCAAGCGAACTTTAACTAACTGAAATAGAGTAAGACAACTTGAAGTTGAAGTCACGATTTAAGTGTGAAGGTTCTCGATAGATACTATTGTCTAAAGACCCATCTGGTTTCCATTGTATTCACCAACCCAACATCCATAATAGCCCAGCACTATTTTCTAATTCATAGGTGGATTGGATTGTACTGACTACTAAATTTATATGTATGTACTCCGATATCAACACAGTAAATGTGTCATCTACATATCATAAAGATACTTTTGAAGTACCACTGAATATTTAGACGAAAGTTATCCGTTCCCAACCAAGCATAAATATTTCAGCCACAATAAGGGAGATATTGGTGATTCCATCGAGCAACCCCTTCTGTTTGCTTGCATATCTTATTGGTAAACCTGAAGATTGTGAAAGTTAGGCATACCTAGCTGTACTCCAACGTAATATCCCCTGCTGATAGCTTAGTTCAAAGTGTAAGCTCATGGTTACTAGTGAACTCATTTCTAACTGTTTCTAGAGCCATCATCCCAATCGGTATGGGTACATCGAAACTGACCACTTCTTCACTGTCATCCAAGTGTATGTCATCTCGTCTTTGCTTCAAGTCATAAGAGTTAGTTAGTCTCGGTTAACAAGAGTTTCTAAATGGACCTAGTACCATCGCTAAATATTTAGACGAGTCATAAGCAGAAGTGTTTCTATACTCTGCTATGCGTCTAATAGGATAAACTGACTTATGAATTTTTGTTACTACCATAAATTGTTAGTTTTGTGTAAGGAGATTGATAACTGAATCTTTGTTGATCGAATCAACACCCAACACATGAACTAACAGGAATGATTTCCCAGCTGTTCTGGATATATGGAAAGCGCTACTGCCTACCTATATCACATATGAGGCGAGAAAATCTGAACCATATACACCAAGTCCCAAAACTATGTAGTTATCTTGATATGGCAATGGGCAATAGTTTGTGCCCAAAACGTAATCCAGTAAACGATACTGTTCCTTCACAATGTGTCACATCTTATACATATCAGTTAAAACGTATTCACACTGGTTAACACCAGTCGGCAGTTCTCATCCAAATCTAAATCAACCTCATTTAGAGACAGGGAGCATCATGTTGATTATCTGAGATAGCTGCGGTCTGGCAGACTCTCATGATTGTTACAGTTATTATATATTACATATAAGTATGTTTCTTTATACTTCAAAAGTCGGTGACTCATATTTTTCTGTCATTTTTCCGCTGGTTGAGTGAACTGCCACTACTAAACTTGCGTACACTCGTTCTTGCCAACACTCGCTTACTTGCCAACGGTGTAACCGTAGCCTAGCTGGTCGTTACACGGATTACTCATTCTATTATGTACACCTCTATACAGCGTTCTACGTTGATTTGCCTATTTAACCGCCAATATAATAATAGTAATAATACTTGTGGGATTCGAATAATGTTGAGAGGTGAAAATACATACATTTGACGTTTTCCAACCTTATAGACTGTGCTTGAACTATATATTGATGATAAATAGTGGCTAGTAGTGGAATCCAGCATGATGTTCGTTTCGTCGTATTCCAGACTCGTCGGCTGGATATACATGTCGGCTCCCAGTCAGCGATCTTCTTCCCACTAAGAATCAGACTCGCAACTTCCAAAGCATTATCCAGTAGACCATAGAGTTACGATAGCCACTTCTTGTGCGACGAGTACCAGCAAGAACAACAAAAAAAACGCACAGACATGAATTATATCATACTGTCTAAGCACCCAGCAGCAAAATTAGTCAGTTGAATAAGCAATAAGGTGAAGATGATGGTTGAGGTGTTGTTTCTGTACAGCGTGTACGCGAAGAGATGTGTGTGTATGTGTGTGAATTAATTCATGAATTAATGAGTAGTCCAATTTACGTATGTAGTACGCTTGCACTTTAAGCGAAATTTATGCATAGCACACTTTATCAGGACTTATTTATCAAGTAAAATTGGGATGTAAGTTAATTATGATGTAGAATATGGTAACCATTTTTGTTGGAAAATCCTTTCTGTTCTTAGTAAACAACATTGATAGTATTACATAATAAGTCCATATGACTGTCGAGTAAAACCCATTGGTAATTGAAGTGAAGTGTTACATATCCCTCATTCAGCCTAACGTTTGCTTAATATTAGCCCATAACCTTAAAAATAATATTGCTGTTTTCTTGCCTTGTTTGCACCGTTGCTTCTGAAGGCTGATATCTTATTGGTCGTTAACTCTTCCAACCAATCAGTGAATTTATTGCTTGTCAAGGTCGTTTAGAAGATATATATATATATTCAGCATTGCTCACAACTGTTTTGACTGTTGGTTGCGACAGTAAAAGCTCTCTGTCAGAGGGTTTGTCTTCTCTTCTTGTCTTCACATGTCGGTTGTATTGTAGCTGTGGTGGTTGACGTTATAACTAGCAATTAGAGTAGATTCGTTTGCGCGTTAGATTCCCATCACTAGTGAACTACTAGGTCACATTACCAATCATAGAATGAAGTCAAATTAATGTGTGATCATCAGCTATGTCTCGTATCTCTCAGTTGGAAGAATAGTGGGCTGACAACCCGTAAGTCTTTGATTCAAATCCTTCAGTCACCGATCAGTACCAATACTAACCTGTGAACCAAAAGTGACAGAAGTAACTAAGATGCATTTTAGTTTAATTATAATGGATAGCGGCTAGCATTGAAATCTAGGATGTGTGTTTTGTCTTGTTCGAGACTCATCAGTTGCGTGCACTTCCCATTGATCGGTCACAGGTCATCTTCAGCCAATAGTTTTCGACCAAAGAGAATATCTGAAAACTGGACTGACCAATTACTTTTAAAGATGATTGCAAATCTAATTACTGTAAAAATGAACAAACCAACGAACAGAAATTAAAAAAGAAGCACACGAGAACTCACGTAACATTACGTAGATAAATGACAAGCGGTGAACTCCAAGCCAAGTGTCCATTTATAAAATCATTCATCAAGTCATTGGCTAAAGGAGCAGGAACTAAACAATTGGCCAATCGATGCTGAAATTATAATCCATTCGGTTGTGTGTCATTGTTTTTTCGCAAGAAAAGAAAGAAAAACCGGAAAAAGCATTAACAAAATAATCTAACTGAATGTAAACAGTTGACTCTATATTACTCAACTGACGTAAACATTGACCCACCAAACATACAACAGATCATCTTTGTATACAATGATATAACCTGATTGATATCAGTGAACTCTTGGACAATTAACGGTCTTCACATTCCACCCTTCATTAATCGCTGAATCTCGAGAAAGAAGAAAAAGGGTTAAGGTAGTAGCATAGACAGAACGAAGGAAAATATTTGTAGCTCAGGAGGATGATTTTGATGAGGCTGTATTCTTTGAGTTTGTCATCCTAGACAACATCATCACAACCTTCAAAAAGAAATGAGCTGTTAGATCTCCTACATGATTTGTTGCTTCTTCTACGGTTCTATCATCATTGTCAAATCGCTCCAGTAGGTAGAATGGTGTTTGAAGCCGGCGACAAGCTTGAGTAGATCAACTAAACTAGGTCTTCAATTTACTGCTTTTTGAACTTCCTCCGAACAAATGGACTAACTGTTGTAATGGAGAAGACTATGAGATTCCATCATCAATAGAAAGAAACCCATAGCTAGCAAATTGGGACTAGCTGGATAGCTTAAAATTCCGATGGTGTTTTGTTTTCTAAGCTGGGTGGTTTTATTGAGGAAGCTTTCATCATTGTCATTATAGACGCATCACCATCAACACAAGCTTCAGAAAGAAGTGAACTGTAGAGTTTTCTCTCCAATTTATCTAGTAGCTTGTCTTGATGGCCTTGTGTGTGATTGGTTGTTTTAGCCAAGATCTTGTCGTTTCCAGCTTTATTTTGATTGGTTGTCCTGATGTCTTGAAACATGACCCTTTCTTGTTTCTTATTGGCCGACAGATTTGGTAAATATCAATATGCCTGTTGATTGCTGATTTATCTGAATACTAAGCTTCAGAAAATTCATTTCTACAGTTGTCTAAATGTATTGATATGAGCGAAGATATGTCATGACGCTTCACTGCTAGTTGATATTCATGCAGACGGATGAGAATAGGGTGATCACTCTGTTCGATGTATACTTTTTCACAGTTTCTGCAATTTATCTGACTGGGAAAATGTGAAAAACCTGAATAGAGACAATACAAAGAATGCCCGAGAATTCTGAGAGGCTTGATATTCAGGTGAGTCAAAAATAAACCGATATACTGACATTGACTCAAATTATCAACCAATAAGAAATGACAAGCTTTAATTTCAGGACAGCCAATCAAAATAAGGCTGGAAACGACAAGATCTTGGCTAAAACAACCAATCACACACAAGGCCATCAAGACAAGCTACAAAGAAGTTGCAGAGAGAACAAAATTGCTCACTTCTTTCTAAAGTTTACGCTGATGATGTTATTGTCAAGAATGACAACAAAAGCTCCACTATTAAAATATGCAGCTCAGAGAGCTGCACCTCGTCAAGACAAAATGAAAGTAGAACCTTGCACACAGGTTGCCACACACTTAATATCAGTGGTATATCAAGAAAAAATGTACTAACATTAAAGATATAGTAATAGAGAAAAAAGCAGTCGAAAGTGGTAGAAAGCTGCCAAAATACAGTAACATGACGATTAATGTGGAAATTGTGTATGTGGAAACATGCATACCATTAGGATTGATTCTGATCCCTGCCATCTACAGTCTACAACCATTGATCTCTGTTATCACGTGGTACCCAACTAGGAAGTCTACACTCCCCTACACACCTCAGACCAACTGTCAAATAATGTCATGTTTTAGTCTGCTCACCACAAATCTTTCTCCAGTTTGAACTTCCTTCGAAGGCATACGAAAATTCCCGGTGTCACCCAAACCATAGCCATAAGGCAATCCGCAGGAAATCATGTATCTAGGTTTCATGCTTGCTAGCACTCGTCAGCCAGACTTGTGTTTACAACCCTCGGGGTTCGAACCCACACCACTGATTATTGGAGTCACTTGCGTTAGCAACTAACATCCATCGAAGGTGCACTGCACAGATAAGCCTCCTAGTATGATGACCATATTACTCAAAATGATCGGTTGAATTCAGTCAGTTATCAGGAGTAGACAGCATCAAACTGGTAACACTACTGAATACAATACTGTGTGGTGTGGGTTAAAATCTCAGTCAATCGCTTTGAGGTCTCAGATATACACCTTGCTGACATGTGCCATCAAGCGAGAAACCTTGGAGAAGCAGAGGCTTCTTGTTGACTCCCTCGAGTGTTGTTCTCCCCATTTCTGTAGTTGACCAGACTTTTTTGATGGAAACTGTCCACATTATTTCTCATTCATCCCTCCACTGGCCTTTTCTTTTTGTTCAAAGGTATGCAGACAATAACTCATCGACATTGACATCATCCATTCAACCAAATCTGTTCAGTCGAAGTTTTGTACACAGTTTATTTGCTCAATTTGCCTTTTTCTTACTGACTGTTCTATTGCCTCGAAGTTTAGAGTATCAGAGTCGGTTAATCAAACAATGGAAACTGAAGGTAAGTTGTAGTTATATTTGTATAACGCGAGTTATAAAACTTCATCAAACTTCATCATCATCAAATCTGTATGCTAGGCTACATATGATGCCTTGTGTTGTGTGTATGAATCTGTGCCTTGTTTGTGATCTGACCATTCGTCTTTCAACCAAATGGGTCTTCAGTTCGACCAGTGGTCTACCTACTGAGGTGAGGTCTTCACAATCAGCTAGTATCATTAACCAACATTGTATGTTGCACCAATTTGGTAGATTGTCATTCGAAGTTGTTCTTCGCATGCTTATGATATCTGCTCACTAACAGTAAAGAGTGCTCAAATTGCTTTCTCCTCATCCTATGCTCAGTAAACTCCATTGACAGATGACCCTCTGTGCGGATGCCTCGATGCTGACATGACGTAGTTCATTGGCTTAAGGAGAAAACTTTCAACTAATGGGTAATGGGTTGGAAACCTACTCCACCCAGTGAAGTGGTTTGCGTAGCCAGGTTGTATCATCAATAGGCGTAGCTCACGGATGTGCGCAAAGATCCTGAGAGCATTCAGAAACTGCTATTTTAGTTGTTGCAAGGGTGGCCATTAGACCTAGTTAACTAATCACTATTGTGTCATTAATGTGTTTAGCTTCTATTCATTCATCTTGGTGACCAAACAAAGGAATCCAGCTAGACGCTCATTTCGTTCTACTAGAGACTCATGCGTCAGCTGGATGTACCTGCACTCCAGTGCGGAGTGTTGTTCCCACTGAGGTTGGAACCCAGTACCCTTCACTTCAAACACCAGAGCGTTATCTACTAAGCCACTGAGGCATGATAGCTACCTCTTGTGCAACAGGCAACGTGCGTCCTAGATTCCTCCGCTAAACACCAAGATCAATATAACATCATGAATATCCAGCAGTGATGTGACTATTTCGGAGTAGGAGGTAGGTTCCAATAATAAGCGGAACGAGTAATAACACAACGAGATACTTCGACTGGATACAAGTAATGCGACTTTATCTGACAAAAAACAGCTTCGGCTTAGAAAATGAAGCCACTAGATCACTAATAAGATGGACATAAATCAAGATCTGAAACCATCGGCGGATGACCTTGAGTGATGATTTCTATTTTTGGCTACTACCTAACAAGCAGTATCGTGGCATTCACATAAGAGTCAATCTGCTAACACAGGTCGAGCAATTCGGCCCTGTTTAGCTTCTATTTTCATTCCTTGACATCTTGATTAAGCCGTCTAATCTTGAAATCCAAATACAATATAGTTGTGCATTGCATAGCCTAGTGGTGTGGCTTTGTTTTTCTCTAGAATCAGCTGAAATAGTGTCAGTGGTAGTGGAACTAATTCGGTACAACAGTAATAGACAGAATCAGTGTTTGGTATATCCTACAGTTCGTTAACTCATAGAACCTGGAACGAGGTTACGAGACCAGTACAAAACGGTCATACCTTCAGACATCAAGGATATACCAATCATTAACGTATGTTGTGAGGAGTAGAAGTTTGACGGCTACGAACTCTATGGATGCAGACTTCATATGTATGTGGATTGGTCCAGGTCAGAGATCTCAATCAGGCTCCTACAGGTCGCGATCTGACAGTCGTCAGCATTCTCACTGATCACGGAGTTGATGTTCGCACCGTAGGCAGAAAACCCGAAGCCAGAGACACCGGCGTGATAAATCACTCTCAAGCGATGGATACCGATCAGAATCCCATCAAGATTCTCATAGATCCTCGCAAGAGCACTCCATTGCTGAAGGATCTAACCATTCGCATGTGAGGCCTTTTACGCGAAGCGACAAATTAGACCTGAAAAATCGACATTTTTGGAGGATAAACAACCTCAGATCAATTATTTCCATTCCTTGTGTTTATCTGTCGGTCTGTGTGTAAATCTTCTAACCTTCTAAAGAGGATAAAGAATGGCAAAGAACTTAAAAGTTCTTCGACTGTTTATTTTACAGTGGAAAAAAATCATCATAGATAAGTATATGCAAAACTTCACTAGTTTGTGGTATTCCATTCATCAAAGAATCGTCTTACGTAATCGACCAGCTATAATGTAAACACTGTATGATTATTGTAAAAACCAATGACTTTAAAATTTCAATTTGTCGGTTTATGAGGAGTTATTAAATTGATTTCAAGATGGTATACATTATACACGGATTGAAATCACAATGGAGAACCTAGAAGCACTGGATAACTGTTTCTTCCATCTACGGGACTCCAAGGTAGTGCACATTCATGAACACCGCAGACATCGAACCGATGAACAACAGGCTCTATAGAGAGTACAAACTGATAGATATATGAGAATATGGACAATCAGATTCCAAAACAAATGCCCAATGAGGATATCATCGCAAAGGGGATGGGGTTCGATCCCTAGCGGGGCGAGGGAATGGCTGGGCATAACTTACGGTTCTCAAACTAGGATGAAACAGCT